AGGAAGTCTGAATCTAGTGGCAATTTAAGCTTACACGAGAGGAGGGCATATCAAGCCCATTTGTTAGCCTAAGATGCCTAAGATTTATGTCACAAATTGGAAGCCACACGTGAAGAGAAACTCTTAAGTTCGTAGTTTAAGATCCATGTGACAAGACTCAAAATCAATATTATGCTTATATGTGATAAAGGCATGTTAAACAAGAAAATCTCACGTTACAAAAAAAAAGACATAAGTTAAATATGAAAAAACTACTTTAAATATCATTAAGAGCTTTCAAATTAAATATAAATTTTGTATTAAAATTTACATACTGAATTTTTAGAGTCCTCCATTGGTATATTGCTAAGATTTAGTTTTATAGGATCATCAGGTTGCCTCCTCTTCATTATCACCACATGGTCTCATCATCGCTATCATCATCCATCCTGTCCTGCTCGATTGCCCCTACCCCTCAACATATATATGGTTATATATGTAGTTCAACTTGTTCAACAGTATCTATAGCATCATAATCAATATCATCAACAACTCTTAATTTTAACACGCAATGATGATGAAGCCAATTAGGATAATTAGATATTATTTAATAATTATATAAATATTTATAATTTACATTTAATCTTTAAATTTATTGATGTGTCTAATACGTCAATTTTTAGTCCACATATCAATGTGGACTCTAGAAATGGGTCCAAAAAGGCCAAACAAGTAGAAAAAAGAATTAATTTAAAAACCTTTATTTAATTTGTTAGAATTAAAACGATCCATATTTTTTTTTTATGGAAATAGGGATCTTGTCATTTGTCTGTTAACTAACAGTGGTTAGTGGGATAAAAAATGAACTGGAAAAATATGTTTGAGGATTATTTTGTAGCCAAAAAAACGTTTAGGAACTAAAATGGGACCTACTCAAAAAACTTAGGGACCACTCTTTACATTTAACCAATTACTACAGTCGTAAATTTAACAGCGGTTAGTGTTTAATGGTATTTAAGTTTTTCATTAAGCATCCTAATATTATTTTACAGTAATTTTCAGAAATAACTCATTTTCCACAATCCCTTATCAATTTCCAATATTTTTGCTTTAGCTATTACAAATTTTAGACATTTTTTTGAATTACCTCATATGGTTGGATTCAGTTATCTTATTTGATTTATTTATGATTCTTGAAAATTTTATTTATTGGCATAATAATTAAGATTTATCTTTTTATTTTTACTCTTATTTATAATCAAACAAAGAAAATTCCGAACGCAATTTTTATCTCTTTTAAGACAAGGGTGAAATTGAAATATTAATAAATACTATATTATTAAAATAGTATATAAGACAATTAAATTAGGCTACCTTTATTTAAAAGGTGAAACAACTAAATTGGACATAAGAGCAAGTTTGTGCAATAAATTAGACTACCCCTGTAATAATTTTGATACTTTTTTAAGTTGAAAAACAATTTTGATATAAATCAAATTTATCAATTTTTGCAAACGTATTACTCCCTCCTTCGGTTGTAGGTCTGCCACTTTTTAACGTTATACATTCCTAAACAATCTAATGATTGTATGGGATAATAACACGACACTGCAAGGAGTATTTATTGGAGGCAAATAAGGAAGCTTTCTTTAGAAGAAGTCTAGTTAGACTTAGAACTATAATTATGATATCTATATAAACCTACACTTTCTCATGTTGGAAGTACAATTTTTTGGGGATGAAGGGATTGTTTAGTGCAATGGTGTTTGAAATTAGTGATTAGTAGTTTTGTTTAATTTGATAGTTGACAAATATTATTATTAATAATATAAACACTCTTATTTATTAGATTAGATTAAATAAAACTAGTATACAAAATAGCCCTAAAGTCAAGTTATACTCATCTCTATTTAATGAAATTATTCATCCTGCTCTTGGCTTTTATCTTGTTAGGGTTTTTCATGTGGTCAAACCCCTAAATTCACCCTAATACAAGGGGTAAAAACTAATCCACCCTAAAAAGTAGAGACAAATTACCCTTTTAAATTATCAATCAAAACAAATGATTCATTATTTAACAATTGATGACATCACATGTTAGGAGACCCTTTGCCACCAAAACCTATTTTTAATTGAAAGTTTATATGTGGTGATGTTAACTTTTAAATAATATATTATTTGTCTTGATTGATAATTTGAAAGGATAATTTATCCATGTTTATTTTTAAAGGGCAAATTTGTTCCTATCCCTATTTAGGGTGAAAACAAGGGTTAAGCCTTTACATGTAAATCTTGTGTTCATTGTCTACTTATTCTCTCTCCATTGTTATCTTTCTATATCATTACTTTTTAAACATTAACAGATTAGTTAAAACTATATAATTAATTGTCAAAATGATATATTTATCCTTAATAAAAGTCTTATCACCTTTATAAATAACTAAAATAATAGGAATAAAGTTGACATAATAATATTTAATGCCTTATATAAATAAAAAAAATAGAACAACTAAATAATTTAAATTAGACCATTAATTTAATTGTTATTTTATCAATTTATAGTTTTACCTTAAACAATTAGTTATAATATTGCAAATATCTGTTTATAAATTGATTTTAATATGTTAAATAATAAATATTAACTATTTTATCAGTTATTAATTATTTTTAATAATTAAATGAAGATAAAAATTTAATAATTATTGATGGTCTTAACAAATTAAATAGTGGTCATAATTATAACCTTTAATAAGTAACACAACTAAATTAGAATTGATAGGGTAGGTAGTTTTTGAAAATGAATTTATGTAAGGATATAAGTTAAAAGTGTATTAATTGTACTTTTTAATAATAAATTTTTATAAAAATATTAAAATGAATATTATTTTTTACACTAATAATATCATGTAAAAGGTTTTAATTAAATAATAAAAATTTTAAAATTAATTTTTATTTTTTTATATAAATTAATTATAAAAATTTATAATTAATATACATTTAGCACGTCACCTTTAATTATGATTTAGAAAAACCTTTGAAAATTGAATTAGTATTTACTTTTCTGGTTTTGTTTCTTTGTTTTTTCTTTTTGTTTTTTCTTTTAGAGAGAGGAGAAAAATGATGCTGAACTGGGAGAGTCATTTATTACCCCATTGAAAAATTGAAATAGGCACTGGACCTTCTGCTGACCCTTCCGACTCTGATAAAGTGTGAGAGAGAGTGTCTGTGAAATTATATATATATATATATATATATATATATGAGTTTGTGTGTAATTTATGTTTTGAGAGAGACTATTGCCTGCCTCTAACCATTTCAACTGCGGCACTGAAAAACATGGTGTTTTTATATGCATTTAAAACTTAAAAGGACGCAAATACAACGAAAACGACATTCCTTTCCCCTCCTCTTTTTCCTTTCCCTCCCTTATTCAATATGGGTTGAAAACATGGGTCACCATCTTTGAATGCTTCTTCCTATTTTCTAGCAAAAATGGTCCCAAGAAATGCAATCACTCCAAGCAAAAGATGTAAAAAAATCCCATGTGTCATTCATTTATACCTCATTTAGAAAAGAGCCCTCTTTTTCAAAATGCATGCTTAATATATATCGATTTATCTATTTATGCGCTCAGTACATAAGATAAAAAATAATTATCTTAAAAATAATAAAATTAATTTTTATTTTAATTATAAATGTTATGTATTAATTTTTTATTAGTTCATTTTAAATTAAAAAACAAAAATTATTTTCTTAATTTAAGATTTCACATTTAAAAAAAAATTGTAATTGTCATTCAATCATTACTTCTTATCTCATGTCATTAGATAAATCTAATATATTATAATTTTTTTATCATGTATTCTTAAAATATATATTAACAGTATATTAATTATTATTAAAAAAAATAAAAATTGACTTTAATTTTAATAATTACATAATTAAAATCAAACATATGTCATTAATGTTAAAAACAAAGTTACCTTTTGTGTCCTTTTATACACATTAATAAAAAAAAGATGCAATTAATATGTTTTAACTTATGTTCGAAACAAACAAATTAGATAAATTCATATACTTATTTAGATCATAAATCATATCTCTCTTTCCCTTTAATTTCCCCTAATTCTTTAAATTGCTCCAAGACAAAAAGAAACCAATGTAAATTTGGCTAAAGATTTGCATATATGTACAAAGAGAGACCCTAATGCCTTCGAAGTTTGTCCAATGTCCTTAATTAGAGAAAGATTAACATTAAACAAATCATATTGAATCTTAGGTCAGCACCATCCTTTTTTTCTTCATGATTACATTTTCAACACATATGGACCATTGAAAAAAAAAAAAAAACAGAGAGAGAGAGAGAAAGAGAGAGAACAAATGTTAGTATTATTTTGATTTTAACCCAAGATTGAGGTTTCAAAGTTAGTAACTATTAATCCGGTTAGGCTAAATCCAAGAAATATTGTGCAAAACTAAAGTAATAACCTTTCTCAGGTAAGAAAAAAGGGGAAAAGAAGGTATGAAATTAAAATCAGCCAACGGTAAAGAAAACCATGAGGGCAAGACAGCGAAAACTCATTGAATTCAAAGAGTAAAAATTTTTTTTAACATGAATTCAAAGAATAAATTATGACGGCAGTTTATATGTATTTTAATAATTTAGTATTTCTTCAAGGACTTATTGTATATTTTTTAATTTAATATATTATACAATTTATTTATTAAAAATTATTTTTTATATAAATTTAAAAACATATAAATTTAAAGATACAATCATACATATAATATATAAAAATTAACTAAATTAATTATATTTATATTATATTTTAATAACTAATTTAGACAAATATCAAATAATATAACAAATCAAAAAAGTATCAACCATTTTTTTAAAAAAAAAAATTTACAGCTTGTCTTGTGAGACTAATGATCAAAAGGGAAACCTCGTGGCATTATGATGGAACTCATCACCTTTTCCATGTAATAATAAGAACAATAGAGAGGTTTATCCTTTTACATTCCAAGCCTAAATTTAATTAAATTTTTCTAAGTACAAGAACTTTAAACACATTCACATGCTTCTAGCAGGAGAGACATATCATACATCGATTTTTTTTTTTCATAGAATCTTATGCAGAGAGACATATTAAATGAACCCATGATGCATGATGGTCATCTATGTTTTCTTTTTTCTTTAAACAAATGAAGATATATTAAAATCAATTCAAGGACCACAGCATATTGGGTTGATATAGAAACAGAAAATCAACATGCATAAACACAAAAAAGAAGATCAGAGGTTTTGCTTAAAAATATAAAGAGATATGTTGGATTAAGATGCTAAAGTTCATTACTCTCCTTCCCCCTCCGTTGTGGCAGAGGACATGTAACTCATAGCAAGAGATGTCTCATCGGCGGGTGTCGAAGTGATGCCTGCTGGTGTTTGGAACTGTTGCTTGCAAGCTTGGCAAGTGATCTGCATGATAGTTGCACTGATCTTCTTCGTTGCTTGCTCTTTCAAAAAATGAGCCTTTTCAAGCTCAGCTTGCGCTTGTTGCCTTATCCTCTTGGCACTTTCGAACTCGAGCTCAGCCATCTCAATCTGCCTCTTTGCTTCTCTCCTAGCCTCCTCAGCATAACTCTTCTCTGCCATGGCCAACTTCAGTTGCTCACCTGCAAACTCTTTAAACCTCAATGCTTCCAGTGCGTGCACTTCTTCAACACTATTCTCTCTATTAGCATCCGAACTCCCATTGTTTTTCGCCTTTTCATCATTTCCACCGGCGCTAACATCACTTGATCCTATGGAGAGCTTCAAATTGGTAGCATAGTTGTTGTCTGAATTCCGAGCGCTTGAAGATGGTAGGAGCTGAAGTTCAAGATTATGTTGCTGCTGATTTGAACTAGAAGCATGATTGTATAAAAATACAGGCTCATTTGTTGGCTTTGGCATTGGCATCCCTGCCAACGGAGCAGATATGCTAAAATTGGCTTCACTTGAGGGACTGGTGCTGGATGCTGATCGAGACGAGCAAGCAGCTGTCTGCATCGCCTGCATCTCCGGCTGGACTCGCCGGACAGTACACGCATCCTGGTGCTCTATGAAACTCTCCACCCTGAAACGACAAAAACCCATGAATGATTCAAACAAATAATGTCGATCTGATGATAAGTTTGGCTGGTTCTTGGTGTTTTTAATGAGAAAAAGTATAAGATGCAATCAAGTCTTGTTCATGTAGGGTTAGAAAGAAACAAAGTAATATAAAAATGAATTAAGTATCTATATTATGGATTGTGTGACTAGGTTTAATTACTCCATTAAATAAATTAAGCAAAAGAAATAAAAATGGGGTCTTGTTCTTTCTCTCTCCCTATAAGAGTTTTTTCTATCCTTTTTGGCCATCCCTATAAGAGGTTTAAATTGCTGAAAAATCTACTGATTTGGTTAGCGGAAATTGGGTTGAATTATTAAGCCAACAAAAACTGCTATTGGGAACAGTGCAGCAGGAAGCTAAGAATTTCCATTGGCCAGGCAAGATCACAAGCATATGCAAAGATGAGGTCATAGTTGTACTGTAGAGAAAATCATTCTTGGTTGAATTATTGGATTTGAGACTTCAGGGTAATAAGAAGTTTAGGGTTTGAAACTTTGAAGAAAAGAATAGCCAGAAAACATGAGTTCTACTAAGAACCAGAAATGGAAAAAATGGAAGAAATAGTGAAACCTGGAAAAGACTCTGCCGCAGTCGCAAGAATGGCCCCTGGTGCCACAAGTCTTGAGATGAGCCTTGTAATCGGACTGAACGGCGTACCCTTTGGAGCACTTTTCGCAGACCCACTGCTTCTGATTGCTGTGTTTCCTTCTAAAATGCTTCTTTATACCGACAAGATCTCCGAGAGCATGACATGGGTCATGGTGCAAGCAAGTCGCCTCAGGACACACAAACACCCTCTTCTTCACCTCTTGGGTTTCCCTTTTCAACAACTTCCACGGTACCTTGTGCCTTCTCCGATGCATTTGAAGGTTCTGGTCCCTCTGAAACCCTTGGTTACAGATCTCACACACGTACCGGTCCGATTCCAGTAACGTCTTAGGCGATAGAGAAACCACCTCCGCATCTGGATCTGGAATTTCCAAAACCACTTGAAAACTATTAGAATCAAATTCAACACAGGAAAAAACTAAAAAGAAACCCATACTTGAATTGGGTTAATTGATTATTACCTGGGGTACCGGCTGGTTTTCTTTTTCTTTTCTGGGTGGCCCCATTTTCTAAGGGGTTGAAAGGATCAGATGAGGAAGAAGGAGCAGTACTATCCAACATATTCTTCTTCTTGGGGGGGTTAGACTATATCTTGGTGCTGTTGGTAGTGAAGGGAAAAGAAATCAATCAATCTGTAGCAGTACAGGTGGTGGAGTTGCACTAGTGGTGGGATGGGATTTTCAGCTTTTGCTGTGGAAGAAGAAAATGGGTAGAAAGAGAAAGAGATAACCAGAATTGGGTTTGGGTTTAGAGAGAAGATGATGGAGAAGGAAAAGCTATTGCTTTCTGCAATCAGCTTTTGAAAGCTTTAAGCTTTTTATCTTTTTCTTTCTTTCCTTTTATTTTTTATTTTTTTTATTGAACTTTCTTGGTTTGTTGTTTCATGACCCCCACCTTGTGAAGGTATGGTTTTTGGAAGTCTCTCTCCTTACAAAGCATAAGCTCATATATACAGGAAGAGAGAGAGTAAGGAAATATTTATAAAGATAATAATTGATATATTTTTTGATTTAATATATTTAATAATAATTAAATTATTAAAAAAATAATATTTTTAAATTTAAATTTAAGTTAAAAAATTTTTTAAAATAAATTTTAATAATTAAATCAATAAATATTATTAAATATATTAAATAAAAAAATATATCAATTACTTTTCTATTCAAAATTCAGAAAAAAGCTTCAAATTCGGATGACCCCACACAGATAAACAGGGGAATTTGGACAGAAACAAAAAAACATCCCTCTCCACAAGAAAACAAACAGTCATTATTCATATCACACAGTAATTTGCATGTATAAAAGCAGGCCAGACCTCTAGTGCACGTGAGCTTACACCCTCCTCACGTGTCCTTTACCCTTTGCCATCCTTTTACCCTTTGCCTTTCTGAAAAAGGAGGAGCGGAATTGAAGGGAAGTCTGTTTGCTTTGGTAAATTGTTATTTGTATTAATTATGGCAAACTAAACTCATTAAAGTTTTTCAAACAGCCTTTTTTACCGGCGAAGGAAGTTATATTAGTCCCTATTATAAATGTTGAAATCATTTCAAGGATTTTCCCCCTTTTCCTTCTATTTTTCATTTTTTTTTCTTTTTATATTGTATTGGTAAATTCTTATTCTAATTCTTACCTTGCTTACCTATATGTACTGTGATTCAAACCTAATGATAAAATTATTTATCATTTTTTATTGTAATTTCATTTGCATAGCTAGCACAATTTCATAACAATTTCCAAGACAATAGTTAATGTTGTGATTTTCCTCAAATATATTTTTTTAATGTTTGTATTGTGATTATAAAATCAATAAAAAATAATAATTAGAAAATTTATTAAGGAAATATCAAATAGGAAATATAATCGAAATAAGCGTGAAAAAATTAGTTACTTTAAAGTAATTCATGTATTTAGAGAAAGTAGGGCTACTAGTTGATACATTCTTTAGTTTAATACATTATACAATATATCTATTAAAAAATTATTATTTTTTGATATAAAATTAAAGACAAAACAAATTTAATAATACAGTCATGCATATAAGGATGTAGAAACCAATTAAATCGATTGTGCTTATATTATATATTAAAAATTAAATTGGGATGAGGGTAAAAAAGTATATTAAGTTGAGTGTGTATCAATAATTTTCTTTTATTTTAATAACTAAACTAAACATGTATTAAAAGATATGTCAAATAAGAGGATGTATCAATAATTTTCCAAGGTAAAATTCAACACGATATGAATTATTTTCAACCGATATTAACTTTAATCATACATTTGCATATAAAAATATGAGGTTAGTGCGTATTAGTCCCGACTTCCGAAAATAATTAAAATCCCAACTTACTTTTGGAAACTAAAGTCTTATTTTATTAAATGTTGATATCTAAATGTAGAAACCTATTATATATTTTAATATATCAATATTTAATAAGATTATTTTTTAAATTTTGAATTAAATTTTAGTTAAATAAAA